ACCACAGCAGAGTGCTCAAAAGATTAACTCCCCTCTATTGTCCAACGTAGTGATACTGTCAGCCATTCATAGCTGGATTCAGTCTCCACAGATTGAACCATCCAAAAACTTGCAACATCACCTCAGATAGCAAGTCAAAGGATTGGGTTGGGGGGGGGGGGGAGAGAGAAAGATTTGTTTTAGAGTTCTCTTCCTGTCTTTACATTAGTTAAACATTGTTATTATTATTATTATTATTATTATTATTATTATTATTATTATTATTATGTATACCCTGCTTTATCTCCCCAATGGGGATTCAAAGCAACTTGACATAAAAGCATTTGTATACAATTTAAAATATACAAAAATGCAAACTTTAAAATAGAATTAAACACATACAGCACTAAAAAAAATCCACAGTTTAAAACCATCAAAACTGTTTAAAGCCACAGCACCCCCTTATTAGATCTTGAACACCATGATCTCTAAAACCTGCCTAAATAAAAAGGTTTTAGCCTGCCACTGGAAGTGGACCATTCTGGCTTCCCTGGACAGAAAGTTCCAGTCATTGGAGTAGCCACCAATTATTTGCTTCACTTTTTATCAGTGTGAGCAATTAGGTTGCTGGAATTCCACAAGCTTTTGAATTCTGGGCACTTGCAAATAGTTATTTTCAATATTGAGTACTCCACCATTTGCTTTTATAAAGGAATATAAATACATGGAACCAAAGATGTCCACACTGAATTTGAACTTGAAGAGTGTCCACTTATTGATGTGACTTTCTACTACATTTTAAGAAGAAAAAAAATCAAAATCAAAATGATAACCAAAGCCATTTTAAGATTCAACTAATGTATCATCTGTGTTTTTGTAGTACATAGGAAGAAGTGCTGGCTAGACAAAGATATATTTTTATACCATGTGTTTCTCAAAAATTCAGAGTGATAATGAGATCACTGAAAGTACAAAAACAAGTGCTAACCAGGAAATACATCTTGAACAAATATTTCAAATGTTGAAGATGAACTTTAAGTCTTTCAGAAGAATTTTATAATTAACACTTTTTGTAATTATCTATATCACATCAAAATATCACATCAAAGTGTCATGCTGGAACTCTGCATAATAATTACAAATTGAGCAGGGAAAATAACTGTACTTATATGTTGTTCATGTCAAAATGAAATTCCATTGTCTTCACTAAGGACCTCATCATATTGAGGTCTAGAAGCCAGAAGACAGTATGGGGCAGTGTTCTGCTTCATCCTCTTACCATCCTGGGCTGCCATCCCATGATGTTCCCCGCTGTCCCCAGCTTATGTGCACACTGCCAACACAGACACCCCCCAGAAGTAGTCCTCCATCATTTCATAGGCTCCACCGGACTCCATCCTGGCAGCATGACAACAGCACGCAGAGATGGGGAAAATCACCCATCTGATGAGGTCATTAGATATCCCATCTCTATAACATATTTGAATTCTGAGAGGCTAGTCTGCCTTACTCAGAGAAGGCAGAAGTCAACATCCCTCTGGCTTATAGTTGGTGAAAATCCACCAATCCGATTCCCACTAAATCAAATACCTCTCATGAAGGGAATGAGAACTTACACTGACAAATTATGTCATTACTTAGACTTATCATTGATGCAGGTGCTTAAAATGGCAGCTATATAGGAATGCAAATATTTGCTTTTTTATCACATGTGTGAATATAAAATTTCTGATGTTTTTCTTTATAGGTAAGATTTCAAAGAGTTTTGCACATTTTACAGCGATTTTTCACATTTTGTGACATGTGGAGGTATCAGAAGGGCCAGTCTTCACTCTTGTGTGAGGATGTGAGATTGGGAGGCATATTAGACACTGTTTTTTGTAGGTATACCAAGAAGCATTTTCTTATTGAGGTCAAGAACATTTTCAATGTTTTATATCATTAAAGCCATACATTTGGGGAACATTAAAGTATACCTATAGATCAGTGAGCCACTGCAGTTTTAATGTAATATTTCCATATATTTGTTAAAATCAAAGACTGGATACAAACAATTCCATGTATCAAACACTGAGATTTGATCATTTCAAAGGTAGCTTTATTTTATAATGCCAGAATCATCACCATGTTTTTCTAGAACTTTCTATGCACACATTTAATTTGTAACCTCTAAAGCAAAACCCAATTTTTTGATGGGAAGTTCAGTTGTCAAATAGATATCTGATCACAGGTAAAGTGGTCATTTCCTTTGCAGAAATGCATTAGTAATATAACAAAGAAGGTTTCTCTCTCTTTAGCTTCAATACAACAAAATGAGAACCCAAACAACTCTTTCTACCAAATTTTCTGGATAATCTATTATAATTAGGCACGAATGTAGAAATAATGCGTCTTTCCTTTGATGAAGAAATGAGTTTCCTTCATCCACTTTTTTCCATCCTTCCACCACAAACATGGGGCATTGTTGCTGTTAGGCAATGATATCACATTAGCATACTCCACTTGCATCAGCTACAGATAAAGCAGCTAGCATTGCAAGAAACAAGCAAGTGCATTATCATTGTAAATTTCAGAAAATTGCCTTGTCTCACAGTAGGAACTGTGGTTTTCTAATGATTAGTGTTATTTGAATCTAATTCATGATCACAGGATAATACTCTTTGTAGAAATTCAAAACCAACACCATCTAAAGCTGACATTAAGCATTTGAAACAGAGCTGACTACATGAGAGGCACAGAGAAGCTCTTTCCCACCTATTTTCATTTTTTAAAAGCCAAAAGTTCTCAAAATAAAATGCCATGGTAGCTTCATTTCAGTTAGTCCAACTACAATTCTCAGGAGCACCCTTGGTGTATTCTATCCAGGACTATCCTTTATACTGACCCAAAATTGCAAACCCTTGAGGACTATTCCTTTTCTCACACAGTAATGAAATAATCACCCTTGCCTATAAATGCCCTCTAATGGAATAATATTTTGTGTCCTTCCAAAACATATGCAATTTGTAGTCTTTACTTTTAAAGGAAAACAAGGAAACACTTCTAGCTATTCATCTCAGATTAGCAATTGGAGTTCTGTTCTCATGGAACAGCTGCTTGGAAGGTATCCTTGGATGCATCTGAACTGTAGAATTAATGAAATTTGACACCACTTTAACTGTAATGGCTCAAAGCTTTGGAATCCTGAGATTTGTGGTTTGGTGAGTCGCTAGTAGTTTTTGGCAAAGAGGGTAAAAGACCTTGTTAAACTACAATATTTGTGATTCCATATCATTGCGTCATGGCAGTTAATTTGATGTCAAACCACATTAATTCTACAATGTGAATGAACCCTTTGTTTTCTTTGTAGTATGGAAACAATACAAGGATTATATATTGATGCATGGAGTGGTGGTTTAGATCTTTACTACTTTGAGGGATCTGCAGATAGTATCGGAAACATTCCTGCATGAAACGGAGTTTCTTTATTTCGTATAAAAAGCACTGCCTACAAAAGTATAAAACTGATAAAAATAGAAGGAGCACAAGCGGCTAAATAATTTTTGACCAAAACCAGGCAAAAATGGCCACATTGTCTTTAGATTTAAACAATTATTCTTCTGTACATAAGGCTGGATATTGTGGATAAGCATACAGGTGTGGAGTTGTTTGTTCTGCTCCACAATCACACAAGGTGAAGGATTCTTTTAGGTAGTTCCATTTCAGCAGGTTGTCGTTTGATCTGCCCACTCCACTTCTGAGTCTGTTCCAAGTTGCCCATTCTTGGTTTGCCCCTGGAGGCAGACCCTCGTGGGGGACCATCCAATTGGGATTTCCTGGATAGCTGCCCAGAGGGATGCTCTTGTTGTTGCTGGAGGAACATTAAGAGAAGTGTTGGTTCTCATGAAGCTTTTTCTTGATTTGAGTCTTCTGGGAGGAGGCTGATAGCCATGCAGTGGATGGCTTTCAGTGTTCAACCTTATTTCTCTCACAGTTAGCAGCAACTTCCTGTTGCACATCGGTGTGTGTGTGTGTGTAGGGGGGGGGGAATGCCAGCTAACTTGTAGAGTCTGCCAAAAGTTGTAGGTTTGAGACATCCTGTTATTATTCTGCATGTTTCATTCAGTGCTATGTTCACCTGCTTTGTGTTAACAGACTTATGCCAAATAGGGCAAGCATACTCAGCAGCTGAGTAAGAGAAGGCCAGGGCTGATGTTCTTATTAATTTTAAGTCTGCTCCCCATGTGCTACCAGTAAGTTTCTGCAGAATGTTATTGCATGCAGCTACTTTGTGCTTGGTGTTCATGCAGTGTTTCCTAAACGTTAGTGTTCTATCTAAGGTGATACTGAGATATTTAGGATGGAAACAGTGTTCGAGCTGACTTGACAGAAACATGCTGTGACTCTGAATAAAGCATTGCCCCATGTTTCTGTGTTCCTAATAATTGCAGTTATTTTAAGTGCATTTATTTAATTGTTGTGAATTAAGAAGGCCTTCAGCTAGGCTTATGCATTGAAATTAGTACATCAAATTCTGTTCACATAAAACTGCATTTGGCAGGGCATGTAATGGATGCAGCATATGATAGATCCATGTAGCCCATGTGTTTGACATTCCTTTACTTCTTAGTACATAATAGAGAAACAGTGCCTCCTGCCTCAATTTAAATATATTCCATGAATCCTGGTATTTCTTATAGGCATGAGAGAAATTATCTACATCCTCATGTTAGAGATGGCACATTAATTTAAACAACAAAAAACACAACAAACTAATGATTACAAAGCCAGAGGCAAAATCTTTCCTACTTGATTTTGTTCCAGTGGCATTGGGAAAGCAATTATATGCTAAAATAAGCCATAGGATGCTAATGGTCTCTTCATCATTATATTATGAAATGTGCCCTTTCCTTGAGAAAAACATTTGGCTTGGCTGTGTGTTAAATTATGTGCTGTTTCTTTTGCTATCTCTACTTTGTTATGCGAAAACACCTGAGGGTATTGGCTATTTCATTAACACTTTGCTATTGTTTATTTTTTAGGCTCTACCCGAGGGGCAGACAGCATCTTGGGATACAGCCAAAGAAGATGAAAACCGCAATAAGAATAGATATGGCAACATCATCTCCTGTAGGTGCAAATTCAAACTGAACTTCCTGTGTGTATCTGTAAGCATCTAGCAGAGAGGGGGTATGTCTGAGAGTGTAACTGTAAAAAGAGCACAGAAATTCCTAGTCTTCTTCACATTTCTGTTGAAAAGTTTCAGATTTAGCTTTGTTGTTACTATTTTTGTGCCCTCCCCTTATATTTTCATTATATTTCTGAAAATTATGTTAGTGGACTCAATTTGCTCAGCCTTTTCACATAGTGGGCACCTATCAAAAGCAGAAGAGGAGCAATGATTTCATGTGCAGAGGCCACCCTTGTTCCTGAATCTATACATGATCAGTTGAGCATGGGAGAGGACCACTCATAGAGGACAGAACTCATATTTTGTTGGTAGGCAGTCCGCCGGATTGTATGTCAAATAGGTATCACCTACTAGGGATTACTTTTATGGCCAAAAGCCACCATAGGTTACAACAACATGGAAGGAGAGGGACCAACATGTCCAGAGATTGACTTCTGGTATGCAGTATCTGATTTCTTTAAATGTTAAACAACATCTTGTGACCTGTTTAAAAGGTACAAATATAGAATGAGAAACTTATCCTCATTTTCGATCAGGGAAAGTTTTCCCCCAAATCCAGACGTGATGAATGACACAAATATACTCTTGGGAAAGCTGCAGGTATCCTCACCCCAATGTAAAGGGTGTTGGCATTGAATGTTTGCCATTAGTATGTTGTAAACCATCTTGAGCCCCCCCCCCCAGAGGTGAGAAAGGCAGTATATAAATACAGTAAATAAATACAGTAAATAAATAAATAAATAAATGTTATGGATACATCGTTCTCTTGGGAATGTAAATCCTTGTTTATCTCTTTCTCTCACATGAGAATGAAAAACCATAAAGTTGTTCTTTTATGCCCAGGAAGACATTTTCTCTTTGTCTCAAGAGAGTTCTCATATTTATAAGAATGCATATGTTCTTGTATTTATTGTTCAAATTGCATAATTTGTCAATCATGAAGCAAACATTCCGCTACATTGTTACCTAGAATTTTAAGAATAAGAAACACTGACTGGGTTTGTGAGCCAGTGCTTCCCTGCTTGCTCTACTTGAAACTTTACCAGTTTGTCTGATAGGATATACTTGCTAGATTCTTTTCATTACTTCAGTTCTCACATTGTTCCTCGTCCTTCAATTGGCAAGAATTCATGCTTTGAATTAGACTCAAAACATTATTCTTCCTGACCTCCCATGTAGAACTTGCCAAGGGGCTAATTGTTCACAGCTTTGCTTTTGGCATTATCTGTATACATTGGAAGTCCATAGTTGTGACAAACAGTTCTAACTGTGCAGCTCTTCATGCTCCCAAATTGCCTTGGCCCCAAGTGACAGGTTTATCATCTAGCTTCAGATAAATGGTGAACCCACACTCCCTGGGTGCTAATCACATCAGCTATTTTGTCTTTTTGGCTGAGGATTTTGTCTGGAGAAACATGGGGCATCTGCAAATGGCAGGTGGAAAGTAATTATCCACATGCTGTAAACTTAGTTGAGTTCACCAGGGAGGTATCAAATGTGAAAAGAATGTGAAAATTACATACAATTTAAAAGTAGGGAGAAGGAGAATTTGTTTTAAAATATGGTTAGATTCTGTATAGAGCAAAACTGGCAAGAAATGTTTGACAATTGCAGTATCTTAGACCAAAGCACTACTGTTAAGAGACACCACACTTCTCCACAGGATTATTATAGCATGGAAACCGTGTTTTTAGGGACTGTAATAAAAAGAGCAGGTTGCTATAAATGAATAAGTCCTTCTGTGCATCAACAGCACCTATATCTGCAGAATAATGTCCTATACTGAAAAATGAAAAGTGTTCATACTTACAGCTCCATGTAATAGCTGGAATATTTGGATACCTGATACATTTAGCAAAAGGCATTCTTATATGTGTGTTGTGTTGCTTTGATTTCAAGGAGCAGTAAATGATACGATAATCAAGAACTAGTTATTAATATGGTTGTGCTCTACCTAAATATCAAATGAAAGTCTTGATTTCAGGTAACCTAGCTGTGAGTTTCTCTAAAATTAACCTGTTACCCACATGCATAAATCACATGATAAAAATATTTATATCCTTATGAAAGGCTTACACTGCTAAATACATGGTATTTTGACATATTGTTCATTCTGTATGAAAGGAAAGCCTATTCAGCCCTCAATCGGGGGACATTCCTTATAAGGGACACCAGTTAGTCCGATAAGGAACAAACTTTACCAATGTCAAAGAGAGGCATACCTTATTATAAGGAGAACCTCACAATCCTATATGTATTAGTTCTAATAGAATGGCCAATTTTCTATATTGGCTATTAAGTTGCTCTTTAACAAAGTAAGCTCTCTTTACTTACCCCCCCCCCCTCCCCGGGCTAAACCTGACAGAGATATCATATAATCATATTCCAGTCTCTAACAAAATTGACTTCTTCTCATGCCCTGTAAAATAGGATGAGGGAGGAGTTACACTCATGGTAATAGTGTCACAATCATGATCATAAATAGAGTTATGGATTGGTAAATCTCATATACTTAACAATAAAATAATAGATGCCAAAAATTCAAATTTGTATGACGCCTAAAATCTTTATTGCATACAGCTGTACAAATATCTTCATAAGCCTAGATGATCTAAGCATCATAACACTCCCATCAGATAACCATCCAGGTCTGCTTGAAACCCTCCAGAGAAAGGGACTTGACCACATTCCAAGGCAGCAGAGTATTCGACTGCCAAACAGCATTTACCACCAGGAAGTTCTTCCAAATGTTTAGACGGAATCTTATTTCCTGATATTTAAATCCATTGCTCTGTGTCCTAGTCTCTAGACCAACAGAAAAAAAATCTTACCCCCATCAATGGGGCGTCCTTTCAAATGTTTAAACATGGCTATTATGCCCCCTCTCTGCCTTCTTCTCCTTCTCCTACTTCTTCTTCTTCTTCCTCTTCTTCTTTTACAAGCTAAACATACCCAGCTCCTTAAGGACGTGGCTTCCAAACCTTTGATCACCCTTTTCTGGACCCATTCCAACTTGGCAATATTGTTATTGAATTGCAGTGCCCAGAACTGGACACAATACACAGATGAGGTCTGACCAAAGCAGAATAGAGTTGTACTGTCACTTTCCTTGCCAGTTCAAAAAACATTGCTTCCACTCTCAATTGACTTCATTTGATTTTAGTGATGTGAGACCCTAGAATGTCTATGTTCATTCCATTGGATAGAGAATGAGATCCTGCTCATTCTCTCATATAAATATCCTGAGATTTCAATACTTAAGAATGCTTAAGTGGAGTGTTTATTCTAACTTTGTCTATATGGACTCTCCATGAGTTGAAAACCCAGATGACTAGATATTGATAACAGGGAGTTCCAAACAGATTTAGAGTAGGGGACGAGTGACAATGAACCCTCAAATCTTCAGTCTAAAGAGGGTGGGAAATGTTCCAATTATTCAGTCACATCTGATTCACTAAATAATGTTATAATACCAACTACTTCAGACATTAATCCCTGTTCAGATGGGATCAATTAATTATATTCATACGAAGACATTAATCCAGTAATTAACTACTAAATGTAGGAATATGGGGAGGATAAGGCAATCGTTTGGGGAATGATGGTAGTAATCTGTGAAAAGATAAGCATTTTCAGAATCATAACTAGTGATTTCAGGAAGGAGGAACTATTTCTAATATACTTTTCATTTCCAAAACCAAAATGATGAATGTTACAGACATGCTATGTCTCTACCATGTATGACATGGTAAATAGGAGCATTCAAACAATAAACATGCAGTTTTCAAATTTCATTCTCACATGCAAAAATTAGTAATTTCATTAGTTCCTGATGAGTGAAAATTCAAGAGTTTTTGAGTATTTTTAATTCCTCTCACATAGAGGTTTTTGGGTTGTTGTAGGTTTTTCGGGCGGTATGGCCATGTTCTAGAAGCATTATAGAACATGGCCTTATTTATTTATTTATTTATTTATTTACTCCATTTATATACCTCTTTTCTCAGCCCTCAGGCGACTCAAAGCAGTTTACAGTAGCAAAATTCAATGCTTGAACATCATAAAACAGATCAAAACAATTAAAAACCATAGCATCAATATACAAACATTACAAAGTCAATACTACATAACTCATGGTGTCTCTTAGTTAACAATCAAGATTCAATCTCGTCATCCAATTGTTTCATGTTCCAATATTTGTGTCTTACGATTTTACACCGCTCCTCCCCCCCCCCCCTTCAGGGAACAGTAAATACCTTAATTCAGAACTTAATTTAATTGAACAATTGTATAAAGAGAATGGTTTAGCACCTTATATCTTTCATTTCCTTCCACTTTTTCTATCAGTCTTTCCCATTTCTGCATCCAAGTTTTCTTAAGTCGGCTTGTTGAGTATTTGCTTCTTTTTTCGTAGATGTACTCGTGGAGCATATATTCTGCTAAATACTCATACCATTTTTTAACCTCCCATTTTCTATAATCTTTCCACCCCAACGCTACAGTTGCTTGGGCAGCTAATATCATGTATTTTATAATTTCCTCCCAGTCTTTGCAATTATCTTTTTTGTCTAATTTCTTTGTAAAAAATTCTATTTTGTTCATAGCCAGTTTATATCCTATTATTTCTTCCATTTCATTCATTACCTTGCTATAGAACTCTTGTACTCTATCACATTCCCACCACATGTGGGAATAAGAACCAATTTTCCCACGTCCATGCCAACAAAGTTTTGTGGTGTTTTTTGTCATCTGGGCTATTTTAATTGGGGTTCTGTACCATCTAGTCAATAATTTCCTTTGGGTTTCTCTGATCTTTATATGCTTAAGACTTTTAATTAAGGTGAAGGGGAGACAGATAAGAGCACTAGGTAATTATAATGTGATATGTGTTATATGGTATGTGATATGTTTCCAGAATGTAATTTAGTAACTGAATTTCTAA